GCTATGTTAGGAACATTTATATCTGGCCTGCTTGGAGCTCAGTTTCTCGCTTCGCTAAGTCACTCCCGCAGATTGGCGATCAATCGACAAGAGATTGGATGACAATTCGATAAAGCGGTGTGGAAAGCACCGCAGTGCGATGCTGTGCAATGCGTGAATGAGTAGAAAGGGCTGCAGGCTTGTCATTTGTGATTATTTCCAATTTCCTTTTTCTTTCTCACTCCGCTTGGTCTTCTCTCCCTCTTCATCTCCATCATCTTCTTCCTGTTTTGTCCCCCAGTATTTTTCTTTCCTGCGAGTCATAATCCGAGTTACGAGTATACCGTATTCCGCAAATGCCTTGCGCTTTGAGGGTGAAAATTTTTTTAATTTGCGTTATGTGCCCAACTAGCAAGGTCGATATCATCATCATCATCGTGGGGCCCGATGATACACAAGGCGGTAAATCTGAGTGTAACTCTAGAGTCTGTAGAATAGGATGGAACCGAAAACCCCCCCCATCCCGCCCCCCCCAAAAAAAAACCTCACTGGGTGAGCCGAAACGTGAGGTCAACGACGGCAATGCTGCGTCGCGGCCACGGTAAGTAGAAAGGTGGGAAGGAGGGAAAAAAAAGGGGGGGGCGAAACCCGCTCAAAAGACAAGTGAGCAGACTAGGGACCATTGGACTAAAGCCTGGCGGAAACCCTTGATCGCCATCAGGGCGTGTGATACTTTACTGCTTTTGCTTCTGATGCCGGCTAGCAGAAATGATGACAAAAGGCTGGAGATGAGAAACGAAAACCCCAAGGGTTACAGCCACAAGAATCTGAACAGTGCTGACTGAGTGAATGAAAATACGTCGGGCAATCAGCCATTACTACTTGCTGTAGGGCCATCAATTGGCCATCGAGTGTGACCTATAACGAGGGGGAAAAACGGGGAGGAAGACAGGCAGGCAAGGGAAAACGCCCAAAAAATCATTTCTTTTCCGATCCGGCAGTGCTCGAAGCTACACGAGTAGTAGCTTAACGTGGTAACCGAAGACCGACATGGTCGGAGGCAAAAATATCCCCCAGAGCGTGGGAAGAGAGAGTGATTGGTAGATTTGCGGATTGGTGTTCAAGCGGTCGGTTTGGGTGCAGTACGAGTACTGTACAGGAACCCAGACCGCACCGCATAGGTGTGCTCCCGGTCCCGGTAGAGAAGGGAAGGTCCCCAATGTCATGATTCATAAAAAAAAAAGGCATATACGGTATGAGAGATTTTCGCTTCCTTATTTTCTCCTTTTTTGGCCTCTGACACCATCTGAGATTATTCTCATCCGAATCCTTCAACCTCCGGCCAGGTACTTCCTCCATTTTGTCGGGGTTTAATCCGTTCCATGCTTCTCAACGGCGGCTAGCCTACTGTATCACGCTTTGTGATGCCCGCAGGAGCAACGGTCCGTCCGGGTAGACCGCTGAGGCATGATGATATACCGAACCGTTTTACATCTACTCTAGCTAGCTGGCTTGCCAGGTAACTACGGTACGGTTGCTGGATCGATGATTCCCGGCATATATATCGCACACATGCTGTGGCAGAGGGGAGGGCCGCACGTGCATGTGAAGCCGTTTCTGGGAGTTGAAGTGTCAGGCAGAGGACTACGACACACTGGATGGAACGCTCCTCACCCCCCAGGGGGTTTACAGGTTACTTAAGCATAGTGAAGGTCGAAGCAGCATGTGGGGGGTAAGTGGGGTGGAATGATCTTTTGATTTTCGTGAAGGGACGAAGGAAAAAATTTCTTATGGTGTATCATCTAATGCACCGCATAGTATGATATGTGTAATATAATATAATAATTATTACTTTTTCCACTGCCCTATTTTCAGTTGCACTAATCGTTAGAACAGGGCCAGAACAAGCAGGGTGTATCCATTTTTCTTCTTTTATTTGTTTTTTCATCCCTCTCTTCCTTACCCTCCTCCGGCCTGGCTACGGAATGTTGCCCCATGTGCAGTCGCCGATAGCGAGATTCTCCCTGTCTTAGTTGCAGTTCTTCTGAGCCACAGGAGGGCAGAGAAGGGTAAGTTAACATACAAGTACGCCCACGGTATCGCTGACTCCCCGCCCTGTGATACCTGTGTTACGAGTACGCTATTGTTGAGATGTAGTCTACCTCTGAGCACCCGGGACTTGTATTATACCAACATGTCATGTTAGACCGACCAGTACGAGTAGTGATATGGAATCCTTCCTTTAATTGCACCATCATACCACCAATGTATCCAAAGTAAAACTCTCAACAGAAGCGCAAGCGGCGCAACCAGCCTATGCAGGGCAATATGCACAGCTGAGAAGAAATCGTGCATCAGGGTCCTAATATATTTTGCCTTCCTGGTGGTTGGTAAGGGGCAAGTTTTGAAGTAATAATCAATAATGTAGGAAAGGTCTCTGTCTATTGGACGGTCTGAGAAAATAGTCTAAGATTCGCAATCAGGCATGCTAAGTCCGGATCAGTAAGCCTCTAGCTATCATACTTCGGGTTAAGAATTTCGGCTATTCAATACTCAAGTGACTCAGCATCTTCTCAACCATTAATTGCCAACGAATCACAATACTTGAATAATCCCAAAAATGTATTAGCGTGCCTAGTGGTAGATCTTTTAGTTTTCGACCGAAGAAGGGGCATTTTGTGCAGTACGATAGTCCTTCGTATTGTCTAAACACAGTTCTGCCACAGGGGAACATCTCCCGCATTTTCAACTACCATTCCAGAATAACCTCCCACAAATACCCACACCAATAGGAAGGGATGATGCAAGGAAGGGGGGGGAGGTGGAGGAGGAATGGGTAAACAAGAGCATCAGGACCAGAAACAAGAAAAAAGAAGGAGGAATATGAATGAAAACGGCACCGGAGAGACGGATGCAGGGCTGAGTGTTTATTATGGTATCACACCGTACACGTTTCGGTTGGTAATCTATCCCGCCCATGAGTACCAGTACGTTGTTCCTTCCTTCACCACGAGACCGGTGGAAGGGAAAAGGGAAGGGCGGGTGGAGGAACATGGGCATAATATGCAGGGCAAACCTTCAAAGCGAGTGACGAGTGCGAGATGAATTAACCTCCAGTGAAGGCCCTCCGCGCTGCGTGAAAAAGTTTGTCAGTCGAAATGAGCGAAAAAGCTAGGCTAAAACGGAAATTTATATAGGGTGATTATGATTTAAGTGCGTACCGTATCGCACCAAGTGCGGAAATTTTCAATATATGAAGCCCACTTCTTTTTCTGCCTCATCAACTATCGGAGTTCGGTGTTTTACAGGTTCCATCAAGTTTACTGTTTGCGGTTCCCTGCTATATGTGTCCGGGCTAGTTGTCTGCCCGTACGAGGCCTGCCCGTCACCTCCCAGAAGCAGAAGAGAAAACGAGGGATTATGAGAGTAAGGATACATGCATCATTAGAACATCACAGGATTAGGATTTAATTCACGGGACTTGCAGCGTATGTGCCCATTGCACCGAGCTTGATATCATAACTCACAGTATAATTATTTTTTTAACCCTTTTTTCTTCTTTGCCTTTGCTCTCCTTGCTTCATCCCCCCCCCCCTAATTTGCTTACTCCATAGCCATCCGTTAACCCGCACACTTTAGAAATTCGATACCTTACCTCTCAAATGGTGAGAGTGCCGTTCTCTGCCCTTATCACGATACTGGGGGCTTCCCTTGGAAGACTATATTTTAGATTTCACATATCATACATGTCCCGGTATAAATGCTAATCAATTGTGGGAGAGAAACGAAGAGCGGGAAATAAGATGAAACCAAAAGAAAAGAAGTGGATTAAGTGCCTAGTGTCTACTGTCCGGGTAAAGCCTGTACTAATATTTCTGACCATTGGGTATTAGCATCATAAAATAGCCACATACCAGGCAACTGGTGACCCATCCCAAGCTGCGGCCCTTGTTGATAAAGCGAGAGATAGGCGAAATTGAGGGGTGCTGGTATGATGATAGTTGCTTTGGGTGGTAAGGGTGCACTCGAGTACTCGTAAAGGAGAACGCTTCGTTCTTGGGATCCCGGAGGTTGTTTTTGATTCTCACACTGCGGTTGCCGGGTGGGTGATTAAGGCACCACAGACACCTCTTCGTCGCAACCGGGGGGGGGGTCCTTTCTTTTTTCCTCTTTTTCCTTTTTTTCTTTTTCCCCCTCTCCTCTACTCGAGTACCGTACTTGTAGGATATGTAACACTGCTTTACATGCAGTAGTAATTGCTAAGGGTGGGGGAGTGGGATTAGAAGTTTGCAGGCCATCACGGGAGAGCGAAGAGTATTGTGCATTTCGTAGCTCCCTATCATGCTCCACCGTAAACTACGACGAGAAAATTTCCAGAGCACTGTACAGTACAATCGTCATAGTATGATATGGTAATGTTGTGGTGCGTTTTTTATGGGAGAAGAAAAAAAGGTCACCCCGCTTGACCGTTGCCATCCCAACGAGGGCTACTCCTTCTAACTACGGTAGGGCTGCTTCCACTTCCTTCTTCATGCTGTCCCTTTTCTGCTCCTGCTTTTTACACAACCATCTCCACTCCTCTTCTGTTAAGCTGCCGTATGATATCGCGATACCCGCAAGTGGAAATACGGTAGCCCAGGGAGAGACACTGATCGCCTTCGGTAGTTGAGCCTCAACTCCCCATTTTCATTTTTTTTCTCACCAATCCCGGTACCCAAGTGCAAGTAGCGCCATTTCTAGGGAGGGATGAGATGCATGGTCGTCCGAGTACTGTACTGTGCAATCCATCCTCCCGCCATGAGGGAAGTAGGACCATTATGCCGCCCCTCTCCTCTCTTACACACTCTGTCTTGATCCTCGTCCCACCCCCTTGACGAGCACATCCAATGTTCAGTGTTCAGATGAGGTCGTTCAAAAAAAAATTCTTACAGGGATCCCGTTTGCTACCGTATAAGAGCTGCCAATGGGCAGGTATGTGAAGGGAGAAGACAGCTTGAGAAGGCGAAATAGCTTAAATCCAGGTTCATTGCATCTCAATTTCAATTCTTCATTCTCCTACCTTTCGGTCAACCCGCAGCGATTCAGATTCGGATCTTATCGTTTTTTTCTCTCACCCCCGCCGCCCCTGCTCCCTCCTTACCTGCCTTTTGTTTGCTGGTCTACCTGTTTGTATTACCGCCTTAGGACTTCTAGGACAAGCAAAACATCTTGGAAGAGCTTGCTTGAGTCACTTCGGGTAGGATAACTAAAGAGATAGCGGCCATCCGAATTAACTTACACGAACGGCCCCTTTTCGGATACTTCCTGACTGCTACTCAGGCTTAGAGCTATATTTCTCTCGCCATAGAGATCCCGCCTGGAGTTCTAGATATATCTTCGCTTCAGTATCTATTGCCGAAGCGTGAAAAAGAGTCAGAGGCAAACTATTTTTGTTTTAGGTTCCCGGTGGTTCTTAATAATATCCTTCCTCCGTTTTCAAGGGGTCAGATTGCATTCTTTCTATTTGGCAAGAGTGAGAAACCGGAGTATTTGAGAAGAGCAAGAGGGAAGAGAAAGCAAGACATCATACAAATCTGCCGATAATACACACCTGTCGATTCCTATATATCAATGGCGATGGTACATAGTGGATTTGGCAGCGGCAACCGCCCTCTGCGCTTTGCCCCTGCATACAAAGCCTTCCCCTCCGAGACCAACAAACGAGATGTCACCGCTAAGAAAATCAGAGACACCATCTCAAGCGGCGAGAATCTCGCTACCTTCAGAGCTTCTGAACCTTCGTCTGATTCCCCCATCGATTGGATACCTAGCTACCAATCATACCTCCATCGATCACAACGGCGGCTGAAGCAAGGCGGTCTTACAGATGCCCTACCTGCGGGGTTTCCCGCAAGGGTTGAATCTCCGCTAGCTTGGTCTGGAAATCAGCTGAAGAAGGAGGATTACACCGTCACATTGTCGGAGGATGAGATTCTGGAAATTGAGAGGGGTTTACGAGATTTTAAGGGTGAGTGCGTAGCGACCATATCGAGCGAGTCCCCCATTTATCGATTTTATCGCTTTAACCTCGATTCATACGAGATACATATATATACATTTATATATATCTCCGTAAATAATTAATACATTTCTTGCTTTTTTGTTTTCCCCACCCTTCCCCCAATCCTACTTCAGTACCTACCCAATCCTGCACATCGACGATGTACTTACCCGGAACCCGCAGAATCGAAGCTCCCTATATCCCTTATCACTCGCCAGACGTTCCAACTCCCAACACTCGGCCCTCGGCTTATTGTTTTGGGCGCCTCTTTGTACAGCGGAAGGGGTTTCTTTGTGCTTCGTGGCCTGAACCCAAAGAAGTACTCGAGCGAAGAAAACGTCCTGATATATGTTGGAATTTCCTGCTGGGTTGCAGAGAAGCGGGGCAGACAAGATGAGCATAATAACATGCTACGTATAAACCCCTTTCCCTTCCAGTGCAGGAAGCCTAAGCGGGCCCGGTACCCGGCAGGCAAATATAGATGAGTTCTTTTTGAGTGACAGGCCAGCAAATAGTACATTTGATAGATCTCACCTCGAGCGTTGCCCCAGATAATGTCCGTCAAGCTCCGTACTCGAATGTCCAGCAAGTATATAACCTCCCCCCCTTTCCTCTCATAACTTCGTTTTTATCTTGACCGCCGAGACCAATACTAACAGACTGCAGCCCTACCACACGGACATTGGCGATATACTTGCATTATATACTCTAGGACAGGCCTATAAAGGTGGAAGGAGTAAACTGGCATCGACCGGAGCAATCTATAACGAGTTGGCAGAAACAAGACCTGATCATATTGACACTCTCCGATCTCCTGAGTGGGTTTTTGATACGTGGGTTACCTTTCCCTAATCACCAAAAATCACTCGGGCAGCAAGTCACTCACTAAACAAAAATTTGGAATATAGATTCGGAAGGACTGGTGAACCCTACTACAAACGGCCATTATTGTTCAACCAAGACGGGAAAATGGTCTTCGCATTTTCGCGCCGCATCCTAACAGGTTCCAAAGTCTCGCCTCGTACCAAGGGAATTCCGGTCATGACGGACGCACAAGCAGATGCATTAGATGCCGTCCACTTCACAGCCGACAAACATGCATTGACATTAGATGATGGTCAGCTAGGTGATATTCTGTTCTGGAACAACATGAGTATCGTACACGCAAGGCAGGGATTTGTCGACGGCGGCCCGATGAACCAGAAGCGGCACCTGCTGAGATTATGGTTGCGGAATGAGGAGCTGGCGTGGAAAACTCCGGAGGTTTTGCGATCAGCTTGGAACGTTGCCTACGGAAGTGATGACGTCTCGGAAGAAAAATGGCCTATTGAACCAATTCTGGACCGCGACCATGTAACGACGCAGCGCAGATCATCCGGGCACGGTTAGGAGGAGCATATTTCTTTCTGTTTTTTCCCTGGGAGAAGAGGTTAGACGATTAGACTCGGCGTTGATGTTTAACTTGGTTAAAAGCTACATATTGTTGGGTGCTTTATTTTTCTTTCTCGACCCCGGTACGTGTTTGTTAAGGTAATTGCGGAACTAGATTTTCCTTTTTTTTTTTTTTTCGTTTTCCTCTTTTCCCTATCTCCATTATCCCTACTTTGTGATGTTTACCGTGTGGTTGTCTTTGTTGCTTATTAGATTTCGATTTCGATTTGTTTCCGTGTTTATCATTTCCTTGCGAAAAAGTAGTGCCAATATAAAATTGGGTTTATAGTTGGCTAGATGGGATACAGGGTGCTGGAGTCGGGGTTGGGCGGGTGTGATGTCGATTGATGAGGGGGTTTATGGTGTGTGAAGAAGCGGCGATATGTACAGTCGTGTCTGAAAAGTCTACGTACCCCTCACGGCAACGGCACTACCACTACAAATAATGATATTGACCACAACAAAAAAAAGATATGAGTACAATTTTAAAATAGATAATAGTAGAAATAGAAAAAAACAGTTTCCCAATGCTACCATTTTGTATGGCTTCCATCTGCATCTAATACAGCCTGAATTCTCTCAGGCATCCTCTGAATCCATCCATCAAATGTCACCTGGGGAATGAGGTCCCACTCTTCCTTTGCTGCCTGAAATAATTCAGCAGTACTATGGGGCCTTCTCTCAACCTTGGAGAATTGCTTTCTGAGTGCTCTTTTAAGAATTGCCCAGGCATTCTCAATAGGATTGAGATCTGGTGAGTTGGAAGGCCAAGCCAATCTTTGATATCCACAGTCCTCTTGCAATTTTTTGTTTTCTGCTCCATTATACCATGATGTATTATCAGTAGCCATATAGATGGTTTGAGGAGCTCTGTCTATGGCTTCTATGAAGGGGATGAGGTAGGGTTGGTGAATCTCAGTTGCATATTGGTAGGAATTGAGACCAAGTCTGTCTCTTTTGCTAGTCCTTTCCTCCTCAGTCCTCTTCCTCACAAGAATGAGCTCTGTCCTCCCTCCACGCATCATTGCAGCATATATACCTATGTTGGTACACCCTGACTTAAAGCTAGGCTTTAAGTTCTTTTCTTCCAACTCTTTACCTAGTTAAAGTCTGACCTCTCTTTCCACTAGATTTGGATCATATTTAATTGTGGCTTCATCCACAAAAACCATCTATTTCTAAGCTCTTGTCCAGTTCCCCCTCGCTCTAGCAAACTCCTTTCTCTTCTCCTTCTGTCCTTTTCTCCAAAAAGGCTTTTTCCTAGGTATTGTTAGGAATACCAGAACCCGATACCTAGGGACCACCCTAAGTAGGGTAACCCCACTTGGAATGGGAATCTCTGGTCTCTAACACCCCCCTCCGGCTCCCTTATGGGGCCCCCGCGTCATCATATATATCAATCTCAGTTGCATCCTGTGACTACATTACCACAGAATTGAAGGTGTTAGAATAACACTGTATACGTCACCGCCGTCTGTCCGACCGGATCCTGTTCGCAGGATATATGAGAGGGGACCTTCGGTTAGGCCTGGGAAGTGGAACAGAGTAATTCCGTCAACTACTCAGAAAGTTACAAGGCTTCAAAGGCATGACACCTTTCGTGTGGGCTGTAAGTAACGGGACGATTTCGCACAATGAGATAGTATCAAATAGTAAAGGATCTCTACTAGAGACCGATACAATTGAATACACCAGAAGACTCTAGAACTCCAAAAAACACTACCAAAGAAGCCAACAAACTTCATGGAGTGTTGCAACTGGGTTTCGGAATACATTGTAGTCATGGGGTGATTCTCAAATACGACGATGGTTACTGAAACCTACTACCCAAAGAGCAACCAAAGGTTGCCGACTGAGGGATTAATTACCAGTTTAGTGGAGTGGCTTCCTGCGAGTGAATAGGAAGTCATCCAAAGAAAATCTATCGGTTGGGTATGGAGTTACAAAGGGTTGGAATCAAATGACATACGATGGTTATAATAATGACCACTTTTGCAGATATAGCCGTGGATAAGACTGATCATTTTATCAATGGCGAAGACAATTGGAGCCAACTCAGTTCGACTTGAGAACTAGGCTATAAGTCTAAAGACTCTGCTAATCGAGATATTACTATTGGGGACAGTACGTTTCCTAAGAAGAAATATCGCAATTATCGAAGAGGGTGTGATAGTTTTCAGGGTCCACAGGTGTTCGCACCTTGGAAGAAAACTCGACATCGCGCATTACGATTGAAGAAGTACATAGTTGTATGATAAATATATGTAGTCAGCAAACACTCAGACGCGGAATATAAATATCGAAGTGCCTCCCAAGCTTTAGACATCATTAAGCAATGGAGAAGAGACCTTAACAATATAATATTGTTTTTACGATTCTATCCTACCTTACCTACTTTACTTTACTTCTAGTAGTCATAAACGAAACGAGCCAAGTCTGAGCCTTCCTAGACAATCTCCGTCTACAAAAAATGAATCTCGATTGGCCTAGATAATCTTGAAGTCTATCAAGTTGTCTCCGCCTAACAGGTATTCTGAGCTTAAATTCAGTTTCTTTAGATATTTTGCTAACAGTATCTTTGCCAAGTCCAATATTGGCTTTTTGAGTAATGTCTCTTAGGAATAAATAAGGCTCAGCATCAATAATATCAAGAATTACTTGCCTTTTGGCATCAGTAATCTTGGTTAATCTGTCATATCTGGGGGCATCATGGATGTTTCCATTTCTGGATTTCGTATTTTTGACTACTGTTGAAACAGTTAACTTGGAGAGGTTTATAAGCTTTGAAAATTTACCATACCCCATATCAGTATGTTTATAGAGGGCATAGATTTCCCTTTTCTGGTCTTCTCTGAGGGTTGGGCAGTGTAGTAGTGCCATGGTAGGGGGTAATATTAAGGTGATCGTTGGTTGGGGTATTGCCAAGCAGGAGTATGTAGACTTTTCAGACATGACTATATAGTAAATAAATGAACTGCAGAGAGACTTGTGTTGCGTAGTAATAAATTTTTTTCCTAATGATCTGTTAGTGTATTTAAGCTTTTTTCTTTCATTGTTGAGATTTGGAGAGGCTAGTACGGATTCTGGCAGGATCTTGTGAGGTTTTGGAATGGAGAGATATGACTGGCATAAAGGGGAGGGATGGGAACAATTTAGGGACTGTAGATGTGAGTGGGTAAATCTGCAAGAAGATCTGACAGGCGAGAGATCAGGAGAAGCAGAGTGCAGAGTAAAGATAGTAATTGGAAGGAGAGAAGCAGGAAAGGCGGGGTGGTGGGAGGACAGGAACCAACGAAAAGATGGACAGTACTTGAATACTAGGACCCCCTCCCCTTTGATACTCAAGAGTAGTCTTAACATACTTGTCATAATGGGTGAAGATTTATTAGCAAGGTATATAGAAATAGTAATTTTTTCAAAACATGGTTAACTAATACATTAGATCAAAATTCTGAAATCAAATAACAAAATCAAGACCACTTTTTAAAGTTACAAATATATTAGTATAGCTGGAACTATTATAGTAGTAGTTGAGACAATAAAATTCTAACTTATATTAACACTTCTATGATAAATCCATTGTACTTTATATAACTATTAAGTAAGCTTCTTGTTACTACTATATGAGCCTGTGCCAATAGAAAACCCACTCTTAGACAATAACTACAAACTATTTATTTTTGCTTTACCACCTAGCTAGAGATGTAGAAAACAAATCTAAAAGCTTAGAAAATAATTTTGGAAGGATGATGACCTCTCTAACATCCTCTATATGCAAAAAAGGCAAAATTTGCAAAATCTACTTTTTCATATATAAAATAACCTCAGCTTCTGATGCATAAGTACAACTAATAATAATTACTAATTCTTAAATAGTTGTAGAGTTATTTGACATTAAAGTTGGCTGATTTGCTGATTTCCTCTGGTTGCATTAAACTAAAAATGGCCATATCTCAAAACAGCTTTCTTGAGTCTCTAGGATTGAAACCTATTTTTCTGCATTGAGTAAAAATATCCAAGAGTTAGGTTTTAATTGGCACAGGCTCATAATATTAAAGCAACTTTGAATATTGTTAGGCATATGGGAGTGCAGAGACTAGTCAGTAGGGTAACTGCATACAGACCCTCATTTATTGGAGTTACCAGTGCCAACACCCTCCTCTGGCCCTTTATAAGGCCTGCATGTCTATAACTCAATTGGAATATCTGTTAGGTATATGGGAGTATACAGACACCTTGGTAGGGTAACTGTACAGAGACCCTCATGTATCAAAGTTGCCAACACCTCTCTCCAGCCCCCCCATGAGGCCTGTAGATTCTTAGCAAGATTTTGAAGAGTTGTGTCTCTTGACTTTAATGTCATTTCAATAAAGCCCATTTCATAACACTATATAAGTTATTGCTGTGTATTCGACCAGAGGCTGTTCACAGGATATATATAAGAGGGCCTCTGAGTACTACAGGGGAGTGGAATAGAGGATATCTGCTTAAGGTATATTGAGTTACTAGGTTTTAAGGGTAGGTATCCTGATTATAGGTATAAGGTAACAGGACATTTTGGTCGTAATAATTTGCAACTATTCCTACAGTACTCCAGTGGCCATAGGATATACAGATGATACTAATATATAATGATCGCTCCTTGTATGGTTAGTTCTTAGCTACGGGGAATGATACTTCTCTTCTCCTTTTTCTTCTTTCTTCGTCTTACGATAGCGCTAGGCCTCTGCCTATGGTACTGATAGTACAAGACTGCTGTCTTCTATCGGGAACACCTATCGTAAGCTTTCTCTAACTCTTCTTCATGAAGAAATTTCCTTTATGTAATAATAACGTTGCAATAAAGATAAAGATTGTAAAGGTGTTTTATATTCGTTAAAGTAATAAGTAGGAAAAGTACTTAGAATTTAATCTAATTTTATTTAAGCTCGTACCGCCAACACTGGTATACGATGTTT